ATTGCTAACGTCAGTATGGAAAGTTTTACTTGCGGCTAAAGTGCGCTCAAAGAAACTTTTGCCCACCACAGCACCGGCAACAACAACAACAAAAATTACAACACCAATCGCACTAACAACTTAACTGCAGGCGGCTCACAACATTTTTATTTTTTGGCTCTGACTTATTCTGCAAATGATTACATTCACATATATATTTACATACAAAGTTGCGGATAATACATAAACCATATACGAGTATGTATGTATATACCTATATGTGTGTAATTTCGGTTACTAATGGATTTAAGTTCAATTACACTGCAGGTCGTATTTGCCCTTTACTATTCAGAAACGCATTAATTTATACTTAGAATTGGCTCTATTGGTTAGTTGGGTCTCAATCGGTAGTGAGAAAGGGGTATATGGTTTATACAGGCAGCATTAGGGATTTCATTGTGCAAGGTCTATTTATAGGTGTTTAATATATTCTAGAAAAATCGTATATACAAATATATGTATCTGATTTTTCAGATAAAAACCTCTTTAAAACAGATTTTTTCGGTACAAATCTCTCATAAAATAGCCTCATTGCGATAGCTTTAAGCTGAAAATACTTGCATGAGGATTTGCTGAAAATAATATAACTATTTTCATTTTTTATTAATCCCAGAATTTCTGTCATATATATATAGATTGTAATCTATCGCGATCGGATTACTTTGACCTTCTCTTGTAAAAGCCAAAACAACATTCTAATTTGAAATATATCAAGCTTGAAAAAAGTGTACTTTCTAGGTACAATATGGACTCAAGATCAAGATAGTTAGATTGTTAAGCGGAAGGCGATACTAAGAAGCGACCCCACCATATTACGGAAATTTTTAAATTACTGAGTTCTCAGTATTTCCTGAGTTAGTTTTCTATACCATCATTCTGCATTACTAAGAAACTGCCAAAGTATGTCTAGAGATAACTATTAACTAACATATACGTTCTGCCAACTGTATGTGGATAAATAGAGCTAATTGGCTTAGCGATAGCGTGATAGCGACTGCAAAAATTTCTTTGTTTCGAAATAATTCTATTCAATAGTAGATATTCAATTAAAGGAGCTTTTTCAGATTCACGCCAAAACTAGCTCTCTTCATTTGTCTAGTTTTAAATTGTTATGGTTCGTAGATATCATAGAGACTCAAGATTATTCGAAGTTCACAATTTCTGATGATCAGCTTTCGAAGGTATTAGATCAAATCATCAAAGAATTTAGCTTACCTCGAAGATCAATATTAAGTAGTCTAAATTTTGTGAAGAGTTTTTATGATCTCGAACATATTTCTGGTATGCTGTCCAATCACCTAAGTTGGCTCCGAAATCATTGTATTGATATTATATATGTATATATCTCCCCTTTATAAAAATTATAAAATTCGGATGGGCGGAGATTCTACGATTCGGTTTTTGGATACTAGGATACCGATTGATATTATTTTTGAATAGCAATAAAAATAGAATATAGAGAGAAGAATACTACGATCATGCACATCGCTGCATAAGTCACATAATAGTAATTTCACCAAATTTGTATCTAATTCTAAACTATACGACACTGCAAAAGTTCCCAGAATTGATTGTCATATCATAAATCTAATTAGAAAGCATATAAGTCGCTGCCTATATGATGACAATAACACCTTAATAAGAGCTCATTTTTACGAAAGTGATGACTACTTTGCATTAGCTATTACAAATGGATTTGCACCACCAGAATCTTTTCTCTACTTGGACAAAAATGGCTTCATCCAAAACGAAGACAACATCCCAATAATCTATCACATATTTAGAAGAGCTAACAACAAAGTAGTCACTTCGAAAATACTCACTGCTGAAAACAAACGATTCGACACATACATCCCGTTTAGAGACAAAACTGAAACCACTTTGACGAAACAGAACTGCTGGTGGCTATTAAGTGATATTGAAAACTAATTCACTCCATGACATATCTGGTCTGATTTCTTGTTCTTCTTTTAACCATTTTATATTATAAAATCATCTATGCATCGTTTTTTTTACTTTTTCCTTGCAAGAAATACTTGTACAAGTATATACTATATATCTACTAAGTTAAGATATAAATAATATCATTAGTTAATAAAATGTTACTTATTATTGATAGCGGAGTACTCGAGAGCTCGTCTAGAGACACTATACGTATTATATGTTATCGGTGTACTATTGTTTATTATAGTAATTAAGCTTATATTAATTTTAATCAAATAAGCAAAACTAAAAAAAAAAAAAATTTTTAATAGCAGTTATAGCATATTAGGAGTACAATTTGTACGTGATTGAGATATCTCTTCCAAGGTAAATTAGCTGACGGAATTACATATGTATGACGTTATTTGGATAGTGGGCGTGTTGAATATTTGATTTCATCAGATATCGATTAGGGAGTAATAGATATGTTATGAACTAAATTTTGGTTTAAGTTATTGAAAAAATTTACAGAGAGCCTATCAGCCTTCAGCACACGTCCTTTTATTTACAAGAAGATACTCATTTCGCCGAGATCGGAGCACTATAGTATTTAGCTGCCATACAAACTGATTCTATTTTCTATTCGACAAGATATCTTCACAAAATTTAGCATGGACTAGTTTATAAGATAATCTATATCGGATCACTATAGCACATGGCACATACGAGTAGTTTGCTAACAGAAGTGTACCTTCGAAGGATAATATAGCTTCACTTCAGCCAAAGTTAACGTTTTTCTTGCTTGCACAGATGTGCGGAGATAATTTGTAGATCTTTCTGATAATTTTGATATTATGACCCACATTGACCAAGTGGATATGTGGTCAATAAGCCTTCTTCAAAGTTTAATTTCATCATAAATTTAGTTGAAACTTGTATCCAAAAACTTCCTAGCAGCAAAAAAAAACATAACCCTGAATTTTTTATTGTCATAAAACAGCTTTTGCTTTCACTTGTTTTTACTTCGCCTGCCAGTGCGCTTAATACTCGACCCTAGCTCCAGCAAACAAAAAAAAAACAATACCGCTTCATGTAAATGAGCCTAACTTTTGTATTTCAGGTATTTCACATTCAAATATTTCTATTCACGTGAGTGTATTTATTGTAATTCATTGTCGCATGACTGCCGCTGCTGCCTTCACGGCACATTCGAACCGTTATTTTCATAGCTATGTGTTGTTATTGTTATTGAAAATTTATAGCGCGCTAAATACTTAAGCTTTTAGGCTGTTAATCTACATACTTTCCACATAGATTTGCATAAACAAAGTTGGGCATTGCGTGCGTGCAAACGGTTTTCGCTATTTCAGTGGAATTCTGCTGGTAAATAATTTCTATAGAAAGCGAAAACGGGATATAAATTAATTTTTTTTTGTAGATTAAAGTTGCGAACTAAAAACTGTTACACAATAAGTAGAATGTATGGCAAGTGGAATGCTTTCTAAATATATTTTGCATAATTAAATACATAAGTTGGAAGATCTATGAGAGTATATTCGTGTACTGTATGTTTTCAGGCATGCATTTTTGTGGCGTCTACTTATTTCCAAAACAACTATTTGTTGCTGTTGTTTTTCAAAATTCATAAAATATTAATTAATAATTAATTACTTTCACTACATCACAATTTTGTGTGAACGTGAATTTAAGTGTTCCTACAGGGTACGGTAGTGGCTATCATAGGAGGACTCTACTACACATTTGTTTAAGGGATTAAAGTAAACAATTCCGACTACTATTGCAATTTTTAACTTATTTATGCTTTGAATAAAGATCACATTTTCGCCATTAACCTATTTCAAAAAACCTTTAGTTTTTAGTTAACAAGCTTGGCTAGTAAAAAGGTATGAGGAGCCAAAGTGGAATTGATATTTACAGATTAGCAAAGCCGACACATGACACTAAAAAACAAAGCATTGGTGAAAGCAAAGGTATACTTTTAAAGAGCTAAGCATTATAAAAACGTGGGTAAGCTGAAAACCTACTTGAGAGCCTAATACTGTTGTACGGAGTTCTTAAAAGCTGATTAAAGTTCTCCGTAAGATGTCTGTCTGTGATGTCTTTTTAGAGTTACAAAATATCCTAGAGTTTATCCAACCAGCTGTAAAACTAATCACAAGTTTTAGAAATGGTAAAGGCTGCAGTCATGTGTTTTTTTTCGATAAAAAATTTTTTTATAGGAAGTTACATCCTTCAGGTCCATAAATCTTACGCAGAATCTTGTACTCTATAAAGTTAGGGTCTAAGCTATAATAACAGTTATGAATTTGGAATGGGTTGGAAATGAAGTCAGTGCAGGAATAAACAAACTAAGATACTAAAGGCTTATGCTGACTCTGAGCTGATGGTAATTTTTTTTGTTTTCAAAATCATATATGAACTCTTTAGTATCGAAGGGAGGCTAGGTTAGGTTACATGACTGATCCCTCAACATGGTGTGGGATCACATTCAGGTTGTTCTGTAAGTACTTTGTTAAGCCAGATGAAAAACTCCTTTAATTGGATATCAGCTATCGGCAAAAGCGGCCTGAACCTATCACAAATCTGCTGGTGTGTTTTATTTCTATTTCCGCTATTTCACGTGGTTCTTTAAAAGTATGCGATCCGAGATGTTTTTGCATATTACTAAACTGCTATCACAGCTTTTTACAGACCACACATGTTAAAATAATGCACTATACAATATTTCGCAACGATATACTGTAGATAATTTTGCTCAGCGTGTGTAAAAATGTCTAAGAATGTCCTTGGTTAAAAACCACGTCTTCCGGCTACCATGACAGTCTCGCCCTCAATATAATTTCTTTTTAATGCTTAAGCGATCATTTACGTGACTTAGTTTCACTTGTAGTATTCAGAAGCAGGCTAGAGGAGATGGAATAAAATTTTATTCCTAGCAGAACTCATTTGTCTGACAAACCCTTAACTTTTTTTTTTCAAATATTATGCATTTGATACGAAAAATAAGAATATAAAAATTTAATTTTAAAAATATGAAACTTTCAAAAAATTTATTAAAATATACATTTGCACAGAAAGTTTCGCAAATTGCGCGAAGTTAAATTTAAAAAAAAAGAAATCTCCAAATATACAGGCATCTTCCTAAAGTCGCGTCATTAACTCTTTGACACTACTTATCTTCGTCATATTTGTCATCTTTGCATGGATCGTAATAATCATCTTCGATATTATCGTTTGCACATGGATCATCCTGTTCGCTATCTTCGCACATCTTTTCTTCATTTTCTCGATTTTCTTCTTCACTTCGGAATGGATTGTAATACGGTAGAGCGCCACAAGGCTTGCTAAGTTTGTCCTTATCTTCTTTAGAACGATCTTTAGCTGTTTTGGCACATTTGGGATCAGCAAACACCATGGTAAAATTATTTTTGTCCTTTAACATATCGGTTCCAGCTTTTGGCTTTTTTGTTTCATCACAGGGTGATGATTTTTGAACTTCTTTTGGTTTAATCACTTCCAAAGTACATGGCTTAGTGTCAGATGTAGTCTTCTCCACGTTTGAATCAGCTGCTTTCGAACCGAAGCCAACACTGCAAGGATCCACAAATACACGGGTATTATCTTTTCCATCTTTAACGTGCAAATTTTTTGTCATACTTTTTGGATCTTTTTCGGCTTCAGCTTTTTTCTTGACTATCTCGCACGGTGGTAACTTTTTAAGATCCATTGGCTTTGGTTCAGTCTTTGTTGTGGGTTTTTCCGCTGATTTTATTCCAGTGCCAAAACCAACAGCGCATGGATCAAAAAAGGTTCTCTTTCCGTCTTTAGGTTGATCCTTTGTTGAGGCACCCTTACAAATATCTTTATCGGGATCAGCTTTTTTCTTGACTATCTCACACGGTTGTGATTTTTTTGGTACCAGTACTTCTGTTTTTGGCACAGCTTTGCATGGATCTTTAGCGACGTCAGATTTCTTCTTAACTATCTCACACGGCTGAGATTTTTTAGGTTCCATTGATTGTGGCTTAGATTCCGCCTTTTGTGCAGCTTTTTCCACTGCTGGTTTAACATCTGCTTTTACCCTATCGCCAAATCCCACACCGCATGGATCCACAAATATTCTGGTTTGCTTTGCTTCATCTTTATAAGGCCCCTTGCGTACAGTTTTGCAGGTATCGTCTGCTTTAGAAGTAGGCTCTGTCTTCCTTTTTGCCAAATCACATGGGTGCGGCTTCTTTTCTGCCTCAGTTTCTATATCAATTTTTTGTGGCTTCTGTTCTTGTGGTAACGTTATGGCTTCAGCTTTCTCTTTCTTTGCTTGTTTTTCTATTAGTCCGCATGGATCTAATTTTCGTCTTTCCTCTTTAGAAATGGGTTTGTCTACATTTGGCTTTAGTTTCTCTACACTTTTTGAACTAATTTCTTTGTTAGGCTCTTCCTGCCGCCATTTTTCTGACTCAGCTTCTGATTTGAGTGTCGCAGGCTCTTGTTTATCTTTAGGAGAACTTGCCTCCACTTCTTTGAATTCGAAACTTTGCGTGCTACTTTTAATGTCACGCGGTTTAATAGGATGCTTACCGCCACTACCACCAGAATCACCTCCCCCACGACCACCGTCTATTTTCGGCAAACCTACCGGTCCAGGTGTCTGCTCGTCTGGATCATGCGGCCAGAAAAGAGGCTTACGTTGATGTGGTATATAATTCGAGCACTCAGGACGCAAGTTAATAAACTCTTCCATTGTCATTGACGAATAAGGTTTCATATTACAAAGCCGTTCTATTTCAGTTTCATAAGCTTTCACGCGTTTGTTTGATTCTAAAATATACTGCTTCACTTGTGCCTAAAAATCAGTGTTACGCGTATATTACATATAAGACATAAAAAATTATTGGAACATACCTGTACTACTGCTCTCTGCTTTTCCAGCTCCTCGTAGTATTTCTTCGTGTCCAATTTCACGCGATCATCGAATACCTTATTCAACTCTTCGTATTTTTTCTCAAATTCATCTACCATTTTTATGGCTTCTATACGTACGTTCGTGCGATAGTAATCCCAATCGATTCGCGGCAACTTTTCAGGATACTTATTCACGCGCCTAACAGTAAAAATGTCCATGATCGTAATGGTTTGAATTTAAATCCTTCGTGCGCTTAACTTACTTTTTGTATTCAGTATTGAGATCGAGTAAATGACGAAATTGTTTCTTCTGATTATTTGGCACACGTTTCGCCAATTCGCCTAACACACTTTTGGTGGCATTACTGCCAGCCATTCGCAAAAAATCGAATTCAGAAAATATATTTAATTATAAAATAATATTTCAGCAATGTTTTCGTAGATAGTTCCCAAAATTTATTTTTGTTCAAAATATTTTCGAATGACACATTAACTAACAAATTTTGTAAGGGTTTCAATAGCTGTAAATAAATAATACAATTATGTTTTGAATATGGCGTGATTTATGGCAAGACATTTATTTATTATTGCAGACGTAAAAAGAACAATATCTACCGTTTTGTTCAATGAGAGCACTCCAAAATTTCGTCCACTGATTGAATTTAGCTTTGATGATATTTTTCTATACCTATGAATGGTTCCATCGTATACGGCCTTAATATTAAGTTTTATGGAGGTGTGACGAAGATAAAAATATACCATATCTTCCATTTGGGGTGAAGCGTATTCATCCTTCTAGTCAAACTCAGACAACTGTCACTTCCACAAACCGATATAAAATGGCTTTAAAACTATGTTAACTAAACGCGTCCATCCTTCTCTATTGGATTCACTGTACACATCTTTAAAGCTACTAAAGAAATTTTTCCAAGCTCGGGGGGAAAAATTTACGCCCTTTTGATTAAATAAATTGTAAAATGACCCGTACATGATTAAAAACTATGGATTAGGTTAGGTTCGATGTCTGATCCAGGGATCGCACTTGGACTACTTGTGAATCCATAAAAATAGAACTCCTGTATCTGATCTTATAAGTCGGTCAGGCGCTTCGTGGTCAATACAAATATGGGAATATGTTTCCACCTCGTCTTCTTCCATGCAGCCTCCGATAACATTCTTCAACTTGTAGTGTGTACGTCCAATGGCCTTAATCTTGAGAACTAGCGAGGGGCTAGCCTGACTGAAGATAAAGAGCTCAGCTTACAGCCGATGTTGGAATAAAAGGATCTTGCAAGCTCTCGCGAAGCCCAGCTAGTCAGTAGTACAACACACGAGGAGAGCAAAAAACCGACCCGTCCCCATTCTATTGATGTTTGGGTACCTTTCCTTGGCAGCTCGTCAGTTTTAAAGTTACCTGCGATTCCGCTGAAGCCTGGCACTCATAATAGATTTGGCAGAAAGTGTTCAATACCATTGATAACGAGGTCAGGCATTCTTTAACCAGCCCTGAACGCACGGTTTGTGAGATTAAGGCTATTATCACCGCCCTGCTATCAGAATGAATAGACACTTCTGGGAGGGAGGCTGTACTCCGCACACTTCAAAAACATTTCCCTAAGCTTTTACTCATCAGTAAAGAATCTCACTACCCTTACACTCCAACGGCTTCTAACCATCCGCAAAGGATCTGTTATGAAGTCAAAACGTCCGAGGATTTCCTATGGAAAAGTTTTACAAATGAATCGGTTGAGATTTTTTTGAACAACCACTGTCTGAAACATTTCAGAAATATGAAGTTTATCCAGAATATGTATTGTACATATATATTAATTACATACACATATACTTTTTTCCCAATATTTTTTTATTGAGATTTGTGTAAGTAAAATTGTTTTAAAAGAAATTAAAATTGTATTAAAAATATAGATTATAGTTAATACTATATGTATATAAGTAAAATAATCTCAAATAAGTCATATTTTTTATGTTAAAAATAAGAAGCAAATTTTCAGAATCATATACAGTTATTTGAACAATCAGACCGACAAATGCCACAAACTTTGCTCAATTGTCTTTTTCGGCACTTAGCATTAGAGATCTAGGTATATCAGCATCAGGAACACGCAAGGATACAGAAGAATCAGTCATTGAGGTGTCATTTGGTAACTTTTTCTCATCCAAGTTCTCCACTGTGGATTTTTGTATATTTGCTTTCACCTGTGGTGGTTTCGAATGATCAATAGATTTTGCTGTAGAGTAGCACTCATGCGTTAGCGTTGTCTTTGCGCTACTTTGTAATGAAAAATCCTGTATACCACCTTTCGTATCAGAAATGACTTGAGGTCTACCTTTGGCAAGTTTACCCTCCTCCATCATATATATGGAGTCTATATTTTGATATTTAGCTTTACGAATCTCATGTTTGTTGGCTTCGCCGTGGGGCAGCATATGGCGTATGCGTACAATATCCCTCTCCAGTTGGCGTATACGTTGCTTGGACTGAAGCATCAGCTGTTGTACATTTCGCTGCAATTTATGAAAATATAGTATTTATTAAAATCTATAGTTTATTGTCTCTCGAATTCATACAACCTTTGCTTGTCGCAGCGATTGCTTCCCCGTCGTTGGCACTTTGCGCCCCAGCGCTTGAAAGCCAAGTTCCACGTCATCAACTAAACGCTCCATTCTCGCTTGTAGTTGCTTATAATAGTAATTCCAGCTGATTAGTTGCCAAAAGTCAGAAACTTTCTGAACACTGTTGCAGATAAATTATTATTATTAAAAAAAATTTTTTTTTTCAAATAACTTACCTTTTATTATTTTGTGCATTTTGCTTGTTGAAACTCAAATATTGCTGGAATTCGCTTGCTGTAAGGCGTTTACAGAATTCCAACAAATTGTTTTTGTTAAAAAATCTACCAGCCATCGGATTTCGTTAATATGTTTGAAAAATATATTTTTTTGAAATATTATTTCGTCTTCCGAATGAATTTTATTTAATTGACTTACAAATCATATCAATCAATTTTTTTTTTCAAGGTTTTCATGGTGAAATTGTATATTATTGTGTGGTGGATAATAGTAAAACCCGCTTAAGTGCCTTACAAAAATCAAAGTTGTGGGGTACTTAAAAGGACCCAACTAAGTAGTCTTACGAGTATTTATGAATTGAACTAAATGTCGGCCAAATGTACACTATGGCTCCGTTTGCATTTTTTTTTGGGAATGCAATTGCGTTTCGTGAACCACTCGAGGCTTCGACTGACCCCAGTAGCGACAGTTTTGTTTGTTGACAAAGCCATAAACCAGAAATGGGCCTCATCTGACAAGATGATTTTTCGATAAAATACATCGTTGGCGAATCGTCGGAAAAAAAATGTATTTCTGTGATATTATTAGACAATTTTCGAGCGTTGTATCAAAGTGAAAGGTTACATGAGGAAATGGCAAACTTTTCTGAACACACTGATCAAACACACTGTAAATAAACATTGCCGCCATGAGCTCTCAAAATCATGTCATCGCTATTGGTAGACGATGTACTTCTCCGAAGTTTCCTTTTGGGTTTGACAAACTTGGTGGCAAACTGAATATGCTGTTTTAATATTTATGTATATTATATATATATTAAAATATATATGTATATGGTAAAAAAATTCTTATATCTTAAAAAAATTTGGTAGAAATATTGCTTGACACTCTCGGGTCAATATTGTATATATAATGAAGATGTCCATCACACGGGTTAAAAATATTTCATTTCATGAACACAGATCAGCCCGACCACCTGCAATATAAGAGTTATGTTCAAAACTTACTAAAAGTGAGATTAATGCCTGACGAAGAAGATCAGCAGAGTCAAAAATAGCTACATTGATCATACAGCTAGCTATCTTAATCGGCCTATTCTTTAGCTCAAAAATACTGATTGGGTTTTTTCAGTTCGAGCCATATGTTTGTTATTGAAAGAAGTAGTGGGTGTTCTTAAGCACAACATAATTCGGTGTAAAAATAATTAAGGAAATTGCCTGCGACGTCTCCAGTTTTTCCAAAAAAACAAAACAAGCAACCATTTGCTTAGAATTGCTTCGTACGCAAACAACTTTTGTTGGATTCGGCTCATCTTGAAACATCCATACAGTCGACTGCTGTGAACACATTTTTCTCTACAGTCGTCTTGGAGTGATCTTTGACCTCGATTAAATTCACCATATCATCGATAAATCCTAGTTCTTTATGAAGCTTCATCTCTATAAATTGAATGAAGTTCATCGATGCACTGTTGCTGAGATAATACACGTCGAAAGTTGTTAAAAATAATAGCGCGATTTCATTCCATTTTTTGGCCGATATAAATATTTTAAGTTACTGTTAACAATACGACTAGCGTTCGTATGTCAAAATGTTCCGAGTATGTATAACATCAAAAATATCAAACGCTAGTGTTCCCAAATTCCAAAATATAAAATGCAACCTACGTATTGTTGAAATTTTTGAAATTTTGTATTAAGGTTTCACCCACGGAGAAGGCCGGAATCACTGCAGTAGTAAAGGAGCTGTTTTTAGGGCCATTGGAGAACTCAAAATATATTTCAGTGTTGCACTTCAAAGATTTTATTTTGTATTAATAAAATTTTTATAAATATACGCGTAAATTTCAAAAACAATTTATACATAAGTTTTTTATACCCAGAGCAGGGTATATTTAATATATAAAGAAGTTTGAACCAACCAGAAGGAAACGTCAGAGACCCTACAAAATGTTTATACAATACATATATAAATGATCAGCGTGACGAGCAGAGTTGATTTAGCCATGTCTCTGTGACTGTCTATCCGTATATACGCGAACTAAAACTCAGTTTTTAAGATATCGATCTGGAATTTTGCATACGTTCTTTTCGTCCTGAGGAGCTGCTCATTTGTCAGAAATGGCTATATGGACCACTACATATATATGAAATATTTTTAATTTGACAAGATATTTTCACGAACACGAGATCAATTAATGCGCTAAATCAGCGGTAAAATATTCCATTAAATTTTTCAGACCGGATCACTTCAGCATACAGCTGCCATATAAAGTGAACGATCAAAATCAAGTTTTTGTATGGAAAACTTTTTTAGGTATAATAACGTTTTTTCTAATTTTAGCTGTCATTTAGAATGAAAAACAATTTCCATATAGGGTGCTAAATATATTTTACAATTAGCTATGCTCTTATAATTTGCTTAGTATATACCATAAATTTAGCGCTTCTGACAGGACTTTTATTGCCTACTCAACAATTTCCACTCATTGGCTACCGTTAATAAATAATTCCCTTAGTTAATCGAAACTAATTATACTTTTTTATATTTTTTATTGATACTATCCACAACAGCTAAGCAATTTAACTTTCTAATTACGACTATGTACGCACTAAGCCAACTCTACGCTTTAGTTATTCCCATGGTTAGCTGCATTGATTGCAAAAAGCACTTACTGAAATTGTTGTAAAATGTTGGGCAATAAAAATACTTTATTGCTAACACATCAATATTCATGCGCTCACACACACAGACATACTCACAATGTAACCGGCAAAACTTCATTGTAAAGTGTTCCCATGCAAACGTCCAGTGCATTCACCAGAAATCAACAATTGAATACATTTAATTGTACACCTCTAAATTGTCGCAAACAAAAGCGCAAAAAGAGTCAAATCAAAGATTTGTAATTAAAATTAAAAGCATTGTATTGAGTTTCAGCGCAAGCAAGTGATAATAAACATAAACATAAAACACTCGCAAGAAAGTCAAGGCACGCGGCAGCGGGGAGGTTAACGAGTAGAGTGGTATAAAAAGTGTGGGTCAGGGGTAGCGAAGCAAAGTTACAGTAACAAATATAATGAGTTTGAGTTGGGTAGTCGCACAGGTAATAGTATTGCTTGATTGGTGCTGCCACCCTTTGTGGAATGGCGTATGTAGAGGAGTTGAGGATAGTTGTAAATATGTGCATACATTTTTAAGTGTATGAAATGGTAATGTAACAGCGAAACAATACTAAACTATCCCTGCGCGTGCGCCACAACTGTCAACGTCAAATGACAGCTGTTGGAGTACCAGGGCGACATTGCGAGATATGCGAAACACAATAAAATGCCGAAGTGGGCTAGCTACCCGATTGCAACAGCTGTGGCAGCAGTTTTGTTTGTTTTCACTTTTACCAGCAAACGCATCTTACAAAAACCCCCAGCATAACAGTAACTACCTTTTGCAAGCGTTTTGACAGCTCGTGCTCTCGCACAGCGCACACGCTCTCGTTCAGCACTCACCAAATGGAAACGAAACAAATGTCGTATCGTGCAGCGCTGAAATTTGTGCGGCAGTGAAAAATTTCTTCAAAATATTTTTGCAAAACTTTAAAATTTTCTATGAAAACTTAAGCGGTTTCGCGTGAAAAGTGTTGATAATTACAGTTAAGTGCTGCTAGCATGCTGTGGTGTTGAAATTTTTTTTGAAATTGCGAATTTTCACTGCGTATTCGTGTAAAAGTCGTGCGTGTGCCAGTTTCCTAAGCGCATGTGCATGTGTGTGTGCGTCCAGTGCCCAGTTGGTTTTTGGTGCAAACAAAACGCTAGCGCTCGAAAGCCTGCCAAAGCAATTGTGTGTGTACTTACACTTTCGCGTGTTTAGTTAAATTGCATTTGATTAAATAATGGAGAGAAAATCAGCGCTAAATCAGCAATAAAATAATCGATTACCCTAGTGATTACGAAGTAATTCAAAGTAATTCAAAGCGGCCTGTATGTTATCAAAATTTGTATCTTACAGCTATTTATCTTTATTTTTTTTTGCATATAAATACATTGAAATGCTTGTGTATTTATTTGTATGTGAATGTATGTATATATGCTTGTAAATGTATGCATGTATGTATGTGTGCTATATTACCTTTTTTTTATATTTATAGGCAGTGTGCCATTTATGTAATCTTGCGAGCTTCTGCGTCAATTTCCATTTTATGTAATGCTTCGCTTTTGCTGTTTTGAAATATTTTTTAAGGTGTGTTTACCTTGTTGGTTCGCCAACGGCATTGCCAGGAGGACATTGCCCATGAGAATGTGAAGAACTTAATACGCTTATGGCTTCTGAGTGTTTATGTATTTGTGCGGTTGGGAATGTAAACATCCACCAGCAGACAAAGTTGCCAAAATTTGTATACAAGTACCGAATTCCATTTTCGAATGTACAATTCAATACAGGCACACACATACATGCATAGGTATATAAAACAGGGACCGTAAATAAACCTTTTTCGACGATCTTTATAACATATTAACATATATTCATAGTGATTTTTTATGGTCGAATTTTTATAATCGTAAATAGTCAATAATTTCGATAAAAAAAAATTATAAATAATGATAATCATAATTATCAAATTTATCACAATTAAGCATTAACAGCGAAGAAAATCGTAAAAATCAATATAAGTATATTAATTATTACGTGATTTTAAAACCTAAAATTTTTCTATACTCTTCTTGCGTTTCGATGTGAGAAAGTTTGAAAACCCTGAAATTTGGAAAATTTATTGAAGATAACTATGTATATTGTCAAATAAAAATGCTTTCCATACTAGCACTTGATGCAGAGCGTCCAATTTGTATGCCAGCTATGTGCTATAGTGATGCGATCTGAAAAATTTCATTGGATATTGCATCATTGCCTTAGACAAATACCCATGCTGCACTTTCCAAGTGCAAACTTAATATACGCTCTTCAGAGAATAACAAGCAAAAATGTTAACTTCGTTCACAGGTCCATATCTTACAGCATAAAATTCTATAAAAAGATCTTAATCTTGAGGTCTATATATCAATTTGAACGCCAGCTACATATGTCCGATCTAAAATCATTTTCTGTATATTATATCTTTACCTTAGGCAATATTCGATGCCAAATTAGATGTAGATATGTTGCCAAAACAAAACGATGTTAATACAGCAACATGTATTTGATCGTTCAAATTGTATAATAGCTGTATGCTGTTGTGATTCAATAACGTCATTTCTCTTAGCGAAAAAAGAACGTGTGAACATTTTCAGATCGATATCTCCAAAACTGTGGGATTAGTTTGCGTATATACCGACAGTCAAATAGATAGAAATGTCTAAACCGATTTAGATGGTCGCGCTGATTTTTTATCTATATGGTATATTAGAGTGGGGCAAAAAAGACGAATGTTGTTTTTTTTCTCTTCGTACTCTGAAGAATTGGTTGACAGACACCTCTAAAAAAATTTCTGCAAGTAATGATATATCCTTAATTGTAACAGGACGGTCTTCCGCCTAACAGTTTTAAAATTTTTTCTTATTATCAGATGGTCTCTTACGATGTTTTCGTAAATCTAAGCGTTTAAAAGATATTAACGGTTTAAGTTTTACTATTTTTGACAAATTTTGTTTTTTTCTTTTGAATCTTATAACTCAATGAAAAAAAAATCACTTAAAATGCGAAGCTCATAGTCTTGTAGGGAATTTTCTGCTCCACAAAAATGGTCTGGATAATTTTTCGATTAAGTTTAGCGTTTACCAGATATTCATCGTCAAACATCAATGCCTATCAAAGGAACATAAGACAAATAAGATTTGAATTTTATTTAATTTCATTCATATAAGGTCAAACTATAAACTAAATCGAATGGTATATAGATTTATCGAAATATTTTAAACCCAGCGCCATCTATGTACATCGTGGGTTTGTGTATTTTTGCATTTCTCTTTATACTCCGAGCTTCTCCGTTATTGTCGAGATAAGCTGACTGTACTGAATAAAGTTCGTTTGAAATTTACCTACAATATGGGTGGATGATGGATGGAAATAAACAAGAATTAATTTTATTTTATTTGAAATAATTTAATTCAAATTATATCTTTTTAACTATGTACATCTAATTTATTTCTCTTGTACACATAAATAGTATCTGTTTTAGTTTCATACAAATCAATCATCATACAAATAATTTTTAAGTTGCTGAAGCTTAAATCTACTTTTAGAATAAATCTGACTTCCACTACAATTTTATGTGTATGTGCTTCGACTTTAATACATTCTGCAGAGCTGTATTAATAAACAGTAAAGTATAGCTTCAGGCGCTTTGACGATTTTCCATTTTATGCTTCAAAGTGAAAATTTTTAACAAAAAAGCAAAGAAAAAAGAAAAACACGTAAATAATTTTAAATCCGATAAAAATTTTAAATTATTTAAATATATAATAATTTCTATAAACTTCTACCTAGTGCGTAACGTGCACACAATTTGTAGCGTTTAATCTGTTGCTATGACTTTTTATGCTATATTTACGTAGTACTTATATAAGCCGATTTAAATATATTAAGATTTAAAATTATAAATATATTGGCAATGCCACCAATTCAAATATAACTACATACATACATATGTAGATAAAAATAAATATTCTTCTAAATTTTGAAGCACAGAACAGTCACTGATACTTTAAAGAGTATATTTATTAATACCCAATTTCTAAATGAACATGTTAAAGCCGATTAAACTCTAAGGCAGTTTTTGTTATTTCGTGATACAATAGTTATGCAGACTAAACAGCTGTCACATTATAACTGAATTTATACATACTATATTCAAATGTACAGAATAAATTTTCTTTGGATAAATATTCGAACTACTTATTACTATTTACAATATTTGTATTTCTCACGTAAAATGGAAGCCCTACTCTGTTAGCGCCACACTCTCACTTCAATTCGCAAGTATTTGCTTCTTCGTTATTTCCTTCACTGAGTAGCTCACACACATCATCATCTACAATTGCCACATAACTGACCATGTGAGAAAATTTTTGTCTTATGTAATACATCGAACCATGATAATGCGCTTGTGGTATCTATTGCATATAGCTTGAACGTATAAGCTCGAGAAATAAAAGAACTAAAGCCATGCATTCCAAATTATAGAAAATATGAACGTTTCAAGCTGTTATTTCTAAACATATTTTGCTAGACTTCTACTCTAAAATACAGTAGTAAGATTGCTGAAAATGAAACAATGATTCTAAGGTTCTAATTAGCAATAATAAGGTGTTTCATGAAACCCTTAAACTAACCTTTACAGTTCTTTCCGAACATTAGCTAGCATTAAATTTAAAAATACCACAGTTGCCGAAGTCATTAGGCGCAAAGATATCTGCTTCGTTTCGACTGAAATTACAAACTTACTTGACATAAAAATTTTGACTTAGAATCAGTTGGAACATAACAATATCTATAACCAGTATACCAGTGGGAGTAGCACCCACTACAAAATCATTTCTGAAAGTTACCAAATTGAGAAACAGACGTCTTTTATTCATGAAAAGATATATCAACATGATCTTAGCTAATCGTTGAGTCAAGGCAAAAGCTGTCAGAATTTCGAAACCTATTTGGCAAAAGTGAAACAAAACGACGTTAGAGCCTCGGTTAAACCAAACCGTAGTACTTAGTTCTAATCACAAATCGATTGCTTAGTGTAGATTAATACTATCAACTTCCTACTCAGTTAGTTTCTCTGCTTTTTTCTGAACTTAAAATGAGCAAATCCACAGACTCCATCGGAATTAACGAATGAGTTTTAGAAATTCCGTGAATTATCCAAGAAATTTAGGTAAGGTTAGGCAAATAGGCTCATTTCTCGTGATCCACGAAAAAATCCCACTTGAATCAAAAAGACCGTCACATATCGACAAAACGCCTAACGCCTACCACAATTCATTGAGGCGGCTAATATCAATTCCAGCCAACTCGTGAGGTTCGTAAAAAGTATATTTCACCCTTCACAAATCTAAAAGTTTTCTTCACAAGAACTGGATACTGATCGGTCAGTTTGTATGCCAGCTATATGTTAAAGTTATCCCATAAAGGCGGTACCGAGAAATCAGCAGCTCCTTGGAGAAAAAAGTACGTGTCCAAAACTACAGATCGATATCTCAAAAACTCAGGAACAGACGGACATAGCTAAATCAACTCAACTCATCATGTTGATGATTTATACATATACTTTATAGGGTCTTCGACATTTCCTTTTGAGTGTTACAAACCTCGTGGCAAACTTAATATAACCTGTTCAGGATTTGATAAGATACAACATTTAATTTTATTATGTATTCTTCTCTCTATTTTCATCATGTGAAATCAGCTCCAATTTCGTGAAAGCTGAATTCCCTAACAGGAAGCCACTTACATCAACGTGTTCAACACCTCCTTTCGCTGCTCACCACGTGTCGATAGCTAAGTATATCTTTCCACTTGCCTTAAAGCGTACATTGCAGTAGTAGTTGTTGTTATTCGCAAGTGATTTTATGCTAATATTATGGGTCATTGGGATTTGCAAACATTTAAGTGCTTGTTAAACATTTCATTAGTGTCGGTGTGTAAATGCCCGCGGATAACGTTTTATGCTCCGTTACGATTTGAACATGTGTACCGAACATAACTAGGTATTTACATAGCACATTCACAGACAAACGAATACAATTATGCGTGACATGAAGCAACCAAGCTATGCGCCGCTAACTCCTTCGAGCGCCTTTTTTTGTATCCTTTGTACTATCGGCTTAGGTACACTCGCGCTAACTGTAGTTATAATAGTGTTCTAACTTCAATATTACGGTTATACGGAGTAGTAGTCCCTTCGTTAGTTTATAAATAAAGATAACTATATATAATTGTAAATGTAAGTTGTAAATTTAGAGCGTGTGTTTAACCTAACTTACTTCCTACT